TAGCATCAATAGTTGGCATTTATTGATATGTTAGTACTGTAAACTTGTCACGGATATCGCCTAAAAGAATAGGGACTACTGCCCAGACATTGACTGCTTCGATCTATCATAGTCGATCTAGATTCATCTCTTCTACTACCCAGGATATTTTTCAGTCCCAGTTTTCCTTGCATCCTACTTTGGTGGAGCATAACATAATACTTTCTGATCTTTCTCTCGACCTTGCTGCCATCTTTACTTCACGTGGATGTTAGCCTTTACTTGTTGAGTTTTCTTCCCCCAGTCTCCTTGTCCAGGAGTCTATGCTAATATTCACAATATTAGCGGGTCGAGATATAAGGTCTTTATTCGAGGTAAGACACTAAAAATCAATCTTGATGTCATATTCGTTATTATTCACATTTGCTGGGTTATTCATCCTTTGTTCCCTTATCTGTTTGCTGAGACTCTTCCTTCTAATTCTTTTGTTAGATCGTCTCTTTTTAACAGCCCCTTGGGAGAGGGTTCGACTGGGATCCATACTGAATCCCTTTTTACTGATCGACGGATATTGTTGCGCATTATATGCATAAATTTGTGGCCAGTTTCCATTACTCTTCACTATTTATGGATAAGGCTAGATTTCTATATGCACTTTTGCATGACAACTCTAGACATTCCTTCTTTCTTCTGCCATAAGATAGTGCATATCTTTCGCAAGACTAGCATAAAGATTGGTCTTCCATATGCCTGTTTGATTTATCATCTTGTGACGAGTCTTAGGGCTAGTTTTTCGGATGGGACTACATGGAGAGTTTCCTGGCCTATTGGCAAGACTACATTTCACAGAGTAGGTCCATGTTCCTTCAAATTATGTTTCTTTTAATTTGGAAGTGCCAATTGATCCAATTGTGAGCCAATTGTGCCACCTAATCCTATTGGTGATCTACTTTCTGTTGATCCTTCTGATATTCCACATTCATCTTGTTCTCATATTCCTACTTCCACCACTGATATTCCATTGTCTTCTACCTTAACTCCTATTCCACTATCCTTTACTGATTCTATTCCAACATCCTCTTATGTTTCTCTTGACCTTTCTATGGTTCTCATGAGATAGTCGTCTGTCATGATCGAGCAATAGGTTCATATGATAGCTAAGATTACCCCGTTGTGTCCACTTCAGAGTACTACTCAGCAGAGTTTGCTACACTTCGAGATACGGCTGGCTACCTTCAAAGAGGAGTCAAATGGATCCATTGACATTGGGATGACGGTGATTAGTCTATGAGGCTACAGTTGTAGATGATGCCACTGATTAGTTGATTGGTATTCCCTTAACATTTGTGATAAAAATGGGGAATAAGTAGTATACTTTGATAGCAGTATATTTTAGATACATTTTGGGCTGTATATATGGGATATTAACACATTTTAAGATGTATATGATATTTTCTTCTTAACTAGATTAAGTTTTGATGTTTTGTGGTATCGATATTTGTTTTGTTAATTTATTTATATTGATTTTGCATCTTAATTTAATTAGCATGATTATAAGCTTACTGACATCTATCTTAGCCACTTGTTTTTCTTTACTGTTTCACGTGCTTTTATACATGGTATTTGAGTTGTTGATTTCAGCAAACAGGTTTAATAAGAAAAAGCAAGCTATTGTTAAGTCAATTGGTTTTGGATAGATTAGAGTGGTTGTCTTTGATTTGTAATACGTGTTTTTATCACAATATGTCAAAGGGAGATCATATTAGGTTTTATAGTTATTGGCAATCTTTAGACGAAAATATAGTTATAAAAGAGTTTTAAAAGTCAAAGAGTCAATAATAGGTTGTGTAGATGAACTAGGAGTCATTGAGTACGTTTAAAGAACAATGAGAAAAAGTTGTGGAAATTATGCTAGCCTACTGCCAAACTGATATTCAAGTGCTCAAAATAGTGAAGTTGTCGCTCATCTGCCCTCAACTGGCGTTAGCCTAGTGCTTGAGCGATGATGTTATTTGGGAAACCATAGTTCGTGATTTCAAGGGTTTTATCAATAGTTATCGGACCCAACCTGATGGTGGATTTGGAAAAATCGTTGGATCAACGGGTCAATAATTCAACCGGTGGGTTATCATTAAATATTAATTTTAATTAAACAACTAAGGACCATTGTTTCCATGATGGTCTTAGAGATATAATATCTCATTTGTTGCCATTGTTTGAATCAAGGCTTTAGCATATTTACAAGTAAATTTTTTCTTCAATTTAATAACCATTCGGTTCATACATTGAACTGGATCTAGTTCCACTTAAAATCGTCCGATTCAAACGATTGGTTAGTGGTTTAACTAGTTTCTAACCGGTTCATACGGTTAATTGATTAATTAAATCACCCATGCTGGACCAAGATTCGGTTCGGCGATTCCCAATCTGGACCGGTTGGTCCAGTCCGATTTTAATAACTATGGTTTTATTTATCATATACTACCTCAAAATATCTATATTATAAATACCCAAGCCCCACTTCGTAAAAAAGGTTGGTTGAACATTGTTTGTAAGAGAGATCACATCCTACACATTCTACATACAATTCAATCTTCTATTGATCCAACTGAATCATTTAGAACACCAAACCTATACTTCTATATAATCTGTTGGAGTTCTAAAGATTAAGAGAGGTGATCGGAGTTCTAATTAGAGAAGAGCGAGTGCATTCTTGATGATCTACATGAGATAGACAATTCCAGAACACAGGAGCTGGTGCAAGAGTATACAATTCAGGAGTGTCTTGGTGATTACAGTCAGAAGATCAGAGAGTACTAGAGTTGTCAAGTCCGGACCATACTATAAATCAATTTGTTTATAGTGGATTCTTACTAGCTTGGGCTCGAAATTTTGTATTCTACAAGGAGTTTTCTCCTTCATCAATTTTGTGGTGTTATTTACTTTTAGTAACTTATTAACTATGGCAATTTCAACTTAGCATAGTATTGCATATGAATTTATCTAGATTAATTAATAATTATGGCTTGTTGCTTTTATTAATTGGTAAATTTATAAAACACCTAATTTGCCCTCTTAAGGGTTATTTAGATCGAATTTCATTATTTCAATTTATGAGTCCAACCAAGCGCGGAGCCAGCACTCGGCGAGGGGGTGCGGTGGCGCGTGCTGGTTCCGCCAAAATCTTGAGAACCACCTGATAGCAATTGTCAATCAGGCCGTTGCAGAAGTTGCAGAGCCAGCTGGGTTCTAGAGAAGAACTGAAGAAGATGAGGATGAAAGCGAAGAGCCCTTTATTTATTTATTTATTTATTTTTGGTTTGGGCTTCAGTGAAGTGACTACAAGTAATTGTTGGGCCTCTTTTTGTTTAGCCCAATTCTAAAATGAAATGAACAAAATGGTCTAATTTATCAACCATTTTCAATTGTGTAGCCAAGAATCCAAAATTCTTTCCTTCTACCCAATTCCCAAATCATGGAAGCCTAAGTGCCAATTGCCAAATGCTTTTCCTCCCTTCTCTTTTCTCCAATCCACACGACCTAAGGGCTACTGGCAGGTAGACTCCATTGAAAAAAAGGCAACCTCAACGACGACACGAGGAGGAGGAGTTGCTGGAGCCAAGTGCCAACAACCGCTGCAGTGCTGAGCCGATTGCCATGAGTGAGTCCGTGATATCGTGATTGTCGAGTGCCGCTGCCGTTTCTGGGTTTATCCTTTCTGCCTTCTTTGTTCAAGCTGGTGACTCTCTCTCAATTCTCCCTCTTTATTTTTATTTTATTTTTTGGTTTTGTTCTATTTTGTTTTGGTTACTGTCTACTTGACTTGTAGTTGTTGATGTTGAGTATTGAGTAATTTAATGTTAATTATGTTATGATTTATTGATTTGGAAATTTATGTTTGTGAATTGTGATTTATGAATTATGATAAGTAATTTACGTCTTATGTCTTATGAGTTATGATTATTGATTGGAAATTTATATTTACGAAGTTATGTTTCCGAATTGTGATTTATGATAAGTAATTTACATCAAGGGTAATGAGGAATGTTTATTGTTTTGGGAATTTATGTTTGTGAATTGTGATTTATTATAAGTAATTTATGTTTTAATGAGGAATGATTTATGTTTGGAAATTTATGTTTACGAAATTATGTTTACAAATTGTGATTTATTATTACTAATTTATGTTTTAATGAGGTATGAGTATTGATTTGGGAATTTATGTATACAAAATTATGTTTGCGAATTGTGATTTATGATAAGTAATTTATGTTTTAATGGAGAATGACTATTGATTTGAGAGTTTATATTTACGAAATTATGTTTGCAAATTGTGATTTATGATAAGTAATTTATGGTTTATGCGTTATGATTATTGATTTGAGAATTTACGTCTAGGAAATTAGGATAAATGAGAAAATTTAATTGAGAAGAACGTAGATTGTCGATTGTCGACGGTCAACGACCAACGATTGTCGATCGTTGATCGTCTTCAAATTTTAATAAACGACCGAACTATTACGATCGTTGATTATAGACGGTCAACGATCAACTTCCGTCCCAACTGGATTTCGATCTTAGATTCGCCCCTGAGTCCAACTAATTTGGCAGGTTACATAGTATAATTGATACAAATGAATAATATTATAAAATAGTTGAATTTTAAATTAAAATTACTCAAAAGCCTATATCACATCACACAAACTTTGATGAACCTGCACGAGTCTCTTTATAGAAAATTGTTCATCACGTCAATAATTAATCATTGCAACATTTTGAGACTACCAGTTACCGAATTCAATGTTTTTTTTTTGCATTTTGCTACAAACAAAACACTTGTTTCACTCTTAAAATTCGCCATGCTATTGTAAATTTCCATCAATTTTAAATTTTAAATTTTAAAATAAAATAATATTGTACCACCTCTCGAAAATAAAATATTCAAAAAATGAAAATGAATATAACAACCACCAGTATTATAAACAACAATAAATATAAAGAATTGAAAGAATGTTGTTAGTTATGTAAAATATTTACAAGATGATCCCAGCTTCAATAATTCTGGCAAAATTGATCTCCCAAATCACAACAAAACCTCTTTGTTGAGTTCAAATTTTTACAATCTTTCCCTTGGACCAATTATAAGCAGAAATTAATTAATTTTCATAAGTACTTATTTTCATCTAAGAAGTGATTGAGAATTCTTCAGCAAATTGTTGATAGGCGCTCCTCTAGCATTGCATAATAGCTTCTTTACTCCTGCTGTCATCTGTCATTTAAACGGCCAACATGTAAATTTTCAATAAATTCTCAAAACAAATGAAAAGAAAATGAAAGATAGAAAATGTTGTCTTTCATGAGACGGAAATGAAAAGTATTAGTCTGCGAATCACAAGAAATTGTTACCTACCTTTCCGAGACTTCCCCTTCCTTATGGAACAGTTCTTTTATACGAAATAGAAGATGATGGAGGTGATTTTCGGCTAGTTTCTTCTCTGCATATCGACTTCCCTTGACTAAATCTTCCTGAAATTTCTGAAGATTTGTTCCATTGGAGGCTAGATTGCTGCCAATATTTAGAATTTTAGATGTTGGCTATAAGTTAATAGTAAAATAAATTTGAATTTACAAAATTTGAAGCAAAATTTCTAGTTAATTAAAAACACACACACGCACACCTGTAGACTTTTGCTTCTTGTTGTTACACCCAAACTGCTGTGCCATTCCGTGTTCAAGGCACTTGGGAGGCTTGATTCCTATCATAGGAACCCATATTAATCACTACATGGTAATTGTTTTTCTTACTATGGTTAACAATTGTCATGGAATCGAGTATCATGCATATTAATCCGTCAAGTTATTGATAATTGTAATAAATTGTAGCATGCATAATCATAAATTTCGAGTAAATGATGAATTTAAAGATCTTTTAAATGGTTGAATTATCTTACTTTCCAAAACTTTGAATTCTGCAATTTTCTTACACTCCAATGGTCCCAATCTCGATCACAATGGAAGAGAATTATTATTCACAATCTTATTTTGTGAGTTTTTCTACCAAAATAGTGATTTTAGGGCCTTTCCAATTTTGGTGATATTTTCCATACGAATTTTCACCATTTTTCTTTCCATCATTCTCTCTCTATCAAATTGTTAGATAAAAGCTAGAGGTTTTATGGGAGTTAAGGTTGGTTATAGGGAGTTGTAGGTTTGAATTTTAAGTTCAAACAACTCCCTCCAACCCTTTTAATGTCTTGTGGATCGTGTCACCTCACATGGACGACCC